CAGCAGATTCAAAAGCAATTCAGGAATATCAGGTTTCAGTTGAACTGTTCTCAAGTTAATTTCTTAAATTGAGAAAACAAAGGTGCTAAAGGCTATTATCTTGCTTATACATGCTGCAATAATCCCTTTAGACGCTTATTTGAGTCAACTGCATCAGTACATTTGTAGGGCAGTCCATTTATCAACTGTCAGCAGATATTTTAACTTTAGAAAGAATAGGCCGCAGAAAGATGCAAAAATTTTGTGTATGTTGTTCAAAAGCTTTTGGTGGTATTTAGTTTACCGTATGACTGACCAATTTTGTATGCACTTTTCATGTTGCAGCGCTATCATGGATTGTGTAGGATGTGAGAAATGTCGACTGTGGGGAAAGCTTCAGGTTCTTGGTCTTGGAACCGCACTAAAGATTCTCTTCTCTGTTGATGGTGAATATCGCCATGATCAACATGTGAGTTTTCTGTTGTCTTCCTTCATTTGCAGACCTCTCTCTCTTTCTCTGGAGCAAATACGTGCTATTCACCGTCAGTGTTTTTCCTTAGTCTCTCTGTCTTTTTATGTTTTACAGCTGCAGTTGCAAAGAAATGAAGTGATTGCTCTGGTAAACCTCCTTAATCGACTATCAGAATCGATCAAACTTGTACAGGAAATGAGCCCTACATTTGAGAAAACAATTGGGGGGCTAAGTCTACAGCCAGCTGCTAAGCTAATAAGTTCATGGAAAAGACTATGGGAAACAGTAGTAGGGGATAGGTAAACATCACTCTCTGTTGTTTGTGATTAGTTATTTGAATCTAAGGGTCAGGTCATTTAGCTTCTGCTATTCTTTGTTTTCAAAGCTTGAACTGAGGCAAATTTTAGCTTCGAAAAATTTCTGAGTAAACTGCAATAAATGATTTTTTTTAAAGTGTAGAACTGAATATCAATTGGTTCTACAGGATTTACAACAAAATCAAACTATAAAAGAGGAAGGAGGGAGCAAAAGCCTCCCCACTTTCTTGTTCCATGAGTGAACATCCACTCATGTTTCTTTTCCACTTCTTTTTTGTTTTTGTGCCAAGCAGTTTGATGCTAATAATTTGTATTTCAACAAAAACTTTTGCAATTGTCCAAGCCCCTGAAAACTGTGCACTGATTGGAATTTTTCGCAACATGTCATTTGTTGGAACTTCTCTAATATGTTGTCATCCTTTA